GATGTAGGAAAAAAATGGTCAGTATCCTGTACTGCTTTAGTAAATACCTGACTCAACATGCTATCCTCTTCCTTTACAAGAGCCAGATCAAGCCTAAAATGGAGTACTGTTGTCATATTAGGGTCAGGAGCTGCCCAGTCCTCACTTTCCAGTTTTGATAGTATCCAAAAGTGTCTCTGCATTCTTGTGGGTGACAAATTATTTTCAACCCTACAGCCCCTCTCTCACAGATGAGATGTGGAAAGCCTCTCTCTGCCCTATTGCTACTTCCATGCAAAGTCCTCAGATGAACTGCATTTCTTGGTTCCACTAGTTCTAGCCTTCATGGTTAGGACCCACATGCCACTTATATTGTAACAAATCACCTTCATTTTCTCTGTATTCCATTGGTGAGAAGTAAGTTTCACTCAAGCAGCTTCTTTCCACAAATCACTGTTCTGTGGAACTAACTCTCAAGAATTATTAAGAATCATTAAAATAAACTGTACATTCTTTAAATTTAAACAGGAATTTGACCAAAAATAATGATTTTTTCATCATTTTTTCATATAATGATTGCACACCCCAGATCATGAATATCTAAAAAATACAAAAAATCATTAAATTTTATAAATATTATAAATATTAAATATTATAAATATTAAATATTATAAACATTAAATATTATAAATATTAAATATTATAAATATTAAATATTATAAATATTAAATATAAATATTAAATATTATAAATATTAGTTATTTTAAATATTTTAAATATTATAAATAGTAAATATCAAATATTTTAACAATTAAATATTAAATATTATAAATATTAAATATTATAAATATTAATGCTGAAATTTTGCTCAATCCAGTTTGCAAAATCAGACCAAATCACCAAACATCCAAATTTTTGGGTGGGGTTGTACAATGGGAAATGCAACCTGAAATAATCATTTTTTTCAAATATAGGTTAAGCACTTCACACCATGAAATATTTTTATTACATTTTGTACAATATGGAGGTTCAGTTTGTTATTCAAATTTATTGTAAATTGTTCCCCTATGTAAGTCAAAACAAAAATAGTTTTACTATGTGATTTCTTAAAATTTAAAAAACAGAAAGATTTTTTAAAAATTTATCATCTTAATGTTTTTTTCACAATAAATTAAGCACTCCAGATTACAATATCTAAAAAAATATTTAAAAAATTTTAAGAAATCACACATATTATATACAATAATGGAAAAAGAATTTATTTCATAGTACCAATATTTATTTTTCAATACTTATTCTTTATTTGAGCTGCAACAGTAAAGATTAATCACAGAGATTGAACATTGTTATGTAGGTTATACCTGTAGACCCCCAACCTCTGTGGAGTACAGTACTTCCTTTATAATTCATACCTCAATTTTCCAGATTTTGATTATCTGAACATGAATAAAAAACTGAAATCATCCAAACAGTTTTTCAATTATCCAAACTAAACTCATTCTAATATTCCATATCAGACAACCCTTTTGAGAATTTACAAAACCGTACTTGAAATTTGATAAAAACACTGATAAAATCAATGTTTTGCATTGTTTTGCACTAATGTTGTCCAGGTTTGTTGTATTAAAAGTCTGAACATCTGAATTCTAAACAATAAAATAAAAATAAAGAAAATGTGGGTATGCCTGTTAAATAAATCATTTATATTTACAAACATAAGTACACAAATTCAAAAAGCCAAAAAAAAATTGTCTTCAGTTGAGTTAAAGTCTTTCAGGTGGTTGGTACACAGAAAAATCCACGGTTGAGAAAAGACTTTTATTGTTAGCAAAGATTCACTGACGGTTTTTGTTGCTGTTGTTATAGTGGATTCATTTGAAGTCATTGACACATGATTCTCTCAGCATGTGCTGGAGTGAAACAGTTACATTTCTTGTATCTGAATGGCCTGGAGACAGCCACATCTACTCCTTGAATTATTTTTTTTTAAAAGTGTGTTTCCTGGTCTCCAATTATTTATATGTATCTTCCACTTTTATAAGAATAGTGGATAATTTATTTCCCTACCACCTTGTTAAAAGAGGCCATCTCTTTGTCAGCCTTTTTGACTCTTGTACAAAATAGAACCTATATCTACTTGTTAATCAAATTCTGGAAGCTTGGGCAAAGCTCAGGTGAAGCTGCTATAAGCAAGGTCATTGCTCAGACTTTCCCTGGCCTTGCACCACCACTGCTATCCAGTATTAAATAATCTGGAAAAGTTTGACTTGCCATAAAAACAAACCAAACCAAATAAACATTATTTTTTTTAGTGCAGAGAAAATATTTTCATCTTGCACACACTCGCAGATATGCTGAATTTAAATACAGGGCTTTCTTGATTTTCCACTATTTGATTAACCACACACAAATGATAATAAAAACTCAAACCATCTGAATGTTTTTCATAATAATCTAGGACCATTCCAAGTTGTTGCTAAATAAATAAATTTTCAAAAACCTGTTGCATTGTTATTTTATAATGATTCCCTACTTCAAGGAACACCAAAACATATAAATATGATGTACTAAAGGGAAAATAAGAGAGATATCAAAATACATTTACCATTTTTATTAAATGTAACAATACAAAAAGACAATAAAATATGACATAAGCATAGAACTTACAATAGGTGAAGTTTACACTCTAAAAGAATTCTACCCTTAAGTTATGGTGAGGTCATCAGCTATCATCTAGGAATATCTTTGTTCACCATTGGTGTGAGTCTGGATGTTGGTGGTGACACTTCTGAGGATCAGACTAAATTCTCTAACTGTCGCAAAGGCCCTAATTCATCTTGGTTGTCCACTAAACGTGCCAAGGGCACAAACTCACAAAGTTATCTGCTCCCTAGGCGAGGGCTTCTCTCTAAAACCCTACAAACACTTTAACTATTACTACAGTATTCAAGAGACATGATTAAGGGTGCTACCACAAAATTCAGAGAATTTGCCCAGCCACACTAAACTCAGTGGATAAAAGCGTTGATTAGATCCAGTGACTAGACTCAAAAAGTCGTGAGTTTGATACCAGGCTACAGCTGTGGTGAGCCAAAAAAACTTGGAGATTTAAGTTAAAGGGAAATAACTGAGACATCCAGAAGAGGCATGGCATGTGGAACTAGAACAATCTACCTTGGTGGACAAAATAAAGAGTTCGGTTTGAAATTCCAATCACCTGAAGTAGACCAGGGCGTATAACAGCTGAAACATTGTGAATATGGCAATGAAGCTGAGGATAACAGTCTGAATAATGCAAATCATGTAAGTAAATAAATGCAATTTCATGAGGAGGACTACTTCAAAGTGTCGGAGATAGAGACTAGATGTTTTGTGCTAATTTATTTATTTTCATGGTCACATTTCACAGGGAGAGGCTTTTTTTTTAAAATAAGAAACAAGAGTGGCAAAATTTTTGCTCCTAATTGAAACACAAGTTCCTGTATGATGACCAAAGTTAACAAAATAAAATAGAAAATATTCATCCTCTGACAAGATTCAAACCTGTATCCTATACAGAACCATCATATAGACTGACGTGCCTTTTATATGAAAATTTTTCGGACATTTAGGCCAGTAAAAGTTGTTTAATACTGTTTATTATAAACAGAGCATTTACTTAAATATTTGTGTCTATAAAAAGAATGTATAAACATAAAATGTCTTTAAAATATATATATATATATATATATATAAAGACAAAACGAAAACGCATCTTAGCCAATGTGTTTCATCCTCTGAGGGACTGCACCAAGGCAAATACAATGATTTTATTTTGTAAAAAGTATTTCTTGTCTAAAAAACCCTTGTTGCAAAATAAAATACTTGCATTTGCCTTGATAAAGTCTCTCAGAGGATAAAACGTGTCAGCTAAGATAAGTTTTCTTTTTGTCTTTATTCATATTGTGTTTTGCAGATATATTCTATCTGAAATTTGACACATATAAATATAATTTTACACATACTTATATAATTTTTGTCCTACAGAAAACAACACCCTGACGATGACATTGTGCTAATGCCGAAAGAATAAATGAATATGTATTAACATGGTAATTTTTTCTCTTCCTTTAATAAGAATACTAAGAAGCTTGTCCATGAATATAAGATCCTATTGAAAATAAGTAAGCAAAAAACTTGTCTAAATTATTCAATGAGACGTGTCTTATATATATATATATATATATATATATATATATATATATATATATATATATATAAAAAAAAAAGAAAGAACAGTAAGATATATAATCCGGTGTTCTTATAGATATTTTTTATTTTTACAAAATAGTACTCAATGTAAAATATGTTTTTTTAAGCTACAGTTCTATTCAGCATCCATTTTGAAACATGGTTAGAACTGTGTAGCTTAAAAAAAACATATTTTAAATCAATTAATTTATAATATATATATATATATATATATATATATATCTTAGAGCCATTGGTGTCTGTTCAATTTGAAATCAGCCCACATTTTTTAGTGGGTCATCCAAAAATCACCTGGTTCCAAAGGACATTGCTGCAGAGATCCCATGACACCTATCTTGTTTTTTTTGTTTAGTAGGGAGGTACTGTTTGCGGGATAGATCCCCTGTGAATGAGCTTCAAGTATACAATTTAATTCACCTGGCTCGCTCCAAAGACAGAGCCAGCCTAAATTTCAGGTGGCAGAGTACCAAAATATAAGGCTAGAGTGGTGGGGGTGATAGAGCAGGAAGAATGCATAGCGACTGGTAGAACTGATGGAGAACATTAATGGGGTAGGGTTAGGGTGAACATTGTTAATTACCCAATGCACTATGCCTTCTTGATTGGTGTATTCGCACCCCCCCCCCAACTCTAATTTCCAACAGCTTATTCCCTCGGGACGACCCTTTCATTGATCCATTCCATTAATTGCCTTTCTTTTCCATCTTAGCAACACCCCCACCCACTCCAGATGTTACTCCCTTCCCTGCTCCCTTCATTTCCTCACTGACAAGTAATTAGCCTTTTCGGCAGTTGATGTGAGAGAAGTATTCTTTTTCTTTTTTAATTGATCGGGGGGGGGGGGCAAAAAAGGTACCATTGCCTTGGAATATAGAATAAAATAACAATAATAAGGGGGAACATTTTTACTGGGTCTGGCACACAGAGAGTGAGTGAGAGAGAGGGCGGGTGGAGAGTGGGAGATGCCAGTTAGCGTAATGATCAGCATAGAAAAAAATTGAATTTCAGCAGTAACTACTTGTTTTGTTTTCATTTCTTTCTTTCTTTATTGATTTCTTTCTTTGTTCTTTCCATCTTTCTTTTTTCATTCCATCTTTCCTTTCTTTTTCTTTCTTTCTTTTTCCTTCTTTCATTCCTGTTTTTTTCTGCCTTTCTTTCTTTTTCTTTATTCTTTTTCCATTCTTCCCTCCTTTTCTGCCTTCTTTTCTTTTTCTTTCCTCTCTTTTTTCATTCCTTCCTTCGTCCACTTCTTGTTCTTCTTTCCTCCCTTCATTTGATTTTTCTTGCTTCCCTTCTCTTTTTTCTTTTTTCCTTCCATTTCCTTCCTTCCTTCCATTTCCTTCTTGCCTTCCTTCCTTTTCTTCCATTTCCTTCTTGCCTTCCTTCCATTTCCTTCTTGCCTTCCTTCCATTTCCTTCTTGCCTTCCTTCCTTCCTTCCATTTCCTTCTTGCCTTCCTTCCATTTCCTTCTTGCCTTCCTTCCATTTCCTTCTTGCCTTCCTTCCATTTCCTTCCTTCCTTCCTTCCTTCCTTCCTTCCAGGAAAGCTGGATTCATTTCACCTTCTTCATTTCTGTTTTTTCTGCCTTTCTTTCTTTTTCTTTTTTTTTCCTTTCATCCATTCTTTCCTTCTTTTCTTTTTTCTTCCTTTCTTTTTTCATTCCTTCTTTCCTTCCTCCTCCTCCTCCTCTTCTATCTGTTTCTGCTTTTCTTTGTTTCCCTTCTCTTTTCCTTTTTTTTTCTTCCTTCCATTTTCTTTTTCCTCCTTTCCTTCCTTCTTTCCTTCCTTCCTTCCTTCCTTCCTCTATTCTTTCTTTCTTCCAGAAAAGCTGAATCCATTTCTCTTTCTTCATTCACCAGAAGGCAAAATCATGAAAGTGAGAAGAAAATATATAGTGTACATCACTTGAACAAACCACTGTCCCATAACTCTGTTTTGGCTCAGGCAGTTAAAAAAAACTACCATATCCATTGTCCGTGTTGTCTCTCTCTCTCTCTCTCCTTTCTCTCATTCACACACTAACTCACTTACTCTATACAAATAGATCTTAAATATCTTAAATTTGATATCCATCTGAAAGGAACGGCCAAAGATTTTTGAAACCCAAGGTGACGTATGTCGGTTGTAAATGTCAGAAATTTGTAACATGTTAATTTCATAATAATAATCTTAAAAAAAAGGTTTGCTCCCAATTTTCAGGGCCCAAAAATTTAAATTTAGAAAAAAAAAGATGTTTTTACACTTAAAAAATAATATTTACATGTAAACCTAAAATAATGTAGAGGAATATTTGAGATAGTGATTTTCTAAGCATAGCTTAGATGTGGCACAAGGCCAAGAGTATAGGGCACCCAGTGAGTTTCAAACTCACTATTCAGTTGTAATTGATCTAATAAAACAAGCTTGCTAAACATTACACTATGTTGAAGTGCCCAAATAATTTTCTGAGGATAGCTTAGATGGGGCACAAGGCCAAGAGTATGAGGCACCCAGTGAGGATCAAACTCACTATTCAGTGGTAATTGATCTAGCGAGATAAGCTTGCTAACTATTACACCATGCCAAAATGCTCAAACAATATTTGAGATGGATCAAGTCTTGGGTTTAAAAATCTATTAAATATCAACTAATTATCAAATTTGGATAAATATTTGGGAGATTTATTCATCTGTCTGGGAGTCTGGCACAATTTTCCTTCTTAATCTTAAAATGTTTAATTTGCTTTGCTTTGGGAAGCCAATCACTTTTCAACATCAAGGGATATATTATGTTACAAACATGAAAAATTAATTTGACACACGCACACAAAATAGTTTGGCTGGCAAAGGTTTTTTTTTTTAATCTTTTATTTTCAAACATGTTGTTCTGTTTCTCCCGCCAAAGTTACAATGAATTTACAAAGCAAATGAACATAGAAGAATAATAAAGAAACAGGAATCATTTTACTACTGGAATATCACCTTTGAAATCAGATACAATCTTCTTGAATGAAAGCCAGTGTGTGTGTGTGTGTGTGTGTGTGTGTGTGTGTGTGTGTACATGTGTTCACACTTCTGTGTGTCCAGGCAGGTGTAAGCATAGTGTCTGGGAAGCAGGGGTAGGTTTACTCATGGGATTCCCTGATACAAAAAAGGACCACATATTCACATAAGAAAAGTAGCTCCTACCACCATATTTCTATAAAGAAAGAAAGAAAAAAACGAAAGAAAAATTAAGTTAGAATGTCATGATTGGATCAGGGAAAATTTTTTCTACGATTTTAGTGAATCATACTGAATGTGTGGAACAGTGGAATTGATGAGCTGAGTTCAAATTCTGGCCAGATCTATTGCATTCACTTTTACACTCATGTCCTAGGGAAAGGTATGTATTCATCAATTCTTGTCCCCACCACGTGGGTGGAAGGCATTCTAGGAGTAGGTCTATTTTCAATTCAAAAACCACAGATGAAGCAATGGGAAAATACTCTAATATCCTTCTCAAGAAGTCATATTAATTCTTAGATAATAAAGAAATGGGAAAAAATCCAGAGATGAACATGCAATGTGATAGGTCCTGATCTGGCATCTAGTCTACAGTTGCTTTCTCACAGACATGCTGTGGCTTCCCTCTGTCTCTTCTACAAGTATTTTCACGGCATCTGTTCTGATGAGCTACTTTCTCTGGTTCCCAGACTTCATGAATTTAAGCGAGCTACTAAGATGGCATCTCATCCCTCCCTTTCACTGTCAAAACAGTTAAATGTAACTGTCTCTTCTACTCAAACGGCTTCTTCTCTCGCACTTCCCATCAGTGGATCTCCCTTCCTCTTGCTTGCTTCCCTGATAACTATAATCTTCAAATATTCAATCTTCTGATGCCTTCTCTTTATCCACTCCCCAAACATGCCTCTTTACTCTTGTTCTCTATCCTCTGTAACCCCTTGTATGGAATATTGTTGTCATATATGGTCTAGTACCCCTGCTGTACATCTTGAGGTCCTCGACAAAATCCAGAGATGAATATGAAATACAATAGGTCCTTATCTGGCATCTTGTCTACAGTCGCTTTCTCATAGACTTGCCGTGGTTTCCCTCTGTCTCTTCTACAAGTATTTTTATGGTAACTGCTTGATGAGCTACTTTCGCTGGTTCCCAGACTGCATGATTTTAAGTGAGCTGCTAGAATGCCATCTCGGTCCTACCCTTTCACAGTTGAAACAGTTAAATTTAACTGTCTTTTCTACTCAAGCAGTGTCTTCTTTCGCACTTCCCATCTGTAGAACTCCCTTCCCCTTACTTGCTTCCTCGATAACTATAATCTTCAAATATTCAAGTGTAATGTCATCTGATACCTTGATCTTGTTCGCCATCCTTCTCTGTATCTTTTCCTCAAACACACCTCTTTACTCTTGTTCTCAATCCTCTGTAAAATCCTTGTGTACTAGTGTCACTGCCATTTTGCATGGGGTGAATTGCTTTAAAAGAAAAAATTGCTGCATCCATCCTGAAGAAATATAACATAACAAAGTAATGTATATATCTTTTTGTGTAGTAAGGTTCTTGATGATAAAATTTGTTGCATTCTGATTTGCATTAATGTCATCCAAGTATTTTTGTATTACAAAATCTGCACATCTCAATTCAAAACAATAATAAAATGAAAATAAAGAAAACATGGTCTCATGCCTGTCAAATAAATCATTTCATCCTCTGTATGATGATAAACTACATCTGGCAGCAAGACCTCTGATTGGTATGATTTGAGGAACAATTTGAATTGCTGTTGTTCCCAGGTCCGCCCTGACTCAGGGTGGTAGCCCCTGTAAGTGCTTCCAGCTATGGGCAAATAGTGAACCCTTAAATGGGGGTTAAAAAACTAAAAGTATAGATTTTAAAAAAAATAACTAAATTACCAGCAACAGAATTTTGTGAAAGAAAGAAAACAATTACTCAAGCTCTAAAGAAAATTAAAGTTTGTCATTAAATGACCCATAAGGAGTTGATATACTGTCAAACAAACAAACAAAATTAAATTATTTGTATTTACAAACATATGTATATGAATTCAAAATAGTCAAAAAGAAGTAAAAGTAGATTTTAGTTAAATTCATTCTGGTACATAGAAAAATCATAGTTTAGAAAAGATTTTTAAATAGTTCACAGAAAAAGTTATGTTTAAGAAAAGAATTTTATTGTTTTATTCACTGACCATCTTTGTTGTTGTTGCTGGAGATAATTTGTTTGACATTATCAACTGGCTGGCCATACTGTTGTTATTTTAACTGATTTGTTTGAAGTTGCCAACACATGTTTCCCTCAGCATGCACTGGGGGAAGACAGTATTCATTTGTTGTACCTGAATTGCCCAGTGTCAGATATCTCTGCTCTTTGAAAGTGGAAATCTATGGGTTTTTTATAAGAAATTTTTCTTGAAATTAGGCTCAAGATAAATAGGGCTTTAATTTTCTCTGATTGGTCAAATATTTCACATGGTGAGACTAATTTCTAACCAACAGACAGCTTGACTTAAATAGTGTGTGTTGTATTGCAGAATCTTTTTGGTATGTTTGCAATATTGTCTGTTATTGGGTAGTAAATCAAGTTCAGGTGGGTTTTAATATGGTATGAATGTGGCTATGTCATTGTTTTGGAAATAGGTTTTTTTTTTATTAAAAGAGAAGCCAAACTCTGAAATCCAAACTGTTTAGAATGGAACAAGAAAACTTTCCACAATCTTTCTCAAGAATGAGTGGTAATTCCCAGATAATAAATGTTATACTCTGCTTAAATCTAAATCTCTTTCAGATTAACTCTACATCAAAACATGTCATCCCGGTGTGACTGCTTAAAAAGCAAAAATTAAAATAAAAAGTTGTGT